TGGTGTCCTATGGTGTCCCGTTGAACGAGATCGATAGTGCGATCGATAATGAGACCGATAATGAGATCGAGAGGTGTCCCGCGATGTCCCGCGGTGTCCCGTGGTGGCCCGTGCTCTCGTGGTGTCCCGTTAAATGAGATCGATAAAGAGATCGATAGTGAGATCGACAAATGTCCCGTGGTGTCCCGTGGTGTCCCGTGGTGTCCCGTTGACTGGGATCAATGATGAGATCGATTGGGTCAGATGTTGGTTCCCCCCTCTCACTCCCCCCCACAACCTCCTTATCACCCGAAGGGTGGTCGTACAGGTATGTGTTTTGCATCGGTTCCTGGGGAATCGATAAGTCCAAGTCCGGGGGGGAAGAGGAGGGGAGAACATATTTCTTGTTTTGTTTTTATTTAAAAATAATCCATGTTTGTTCGCGGTGAGTTGTCAACTCCACTGCTCGCACAATCATCCCACCCACCCACCCGCAACTTGGTTTGCAAAATCGGTGGCGATTGCGATGACTGCCTGGCGTTGGCTGGTCCATCATTGCGGCCGCGCCAATCCAAGCATGCGCGCGCAGCGGCCAGCTAGTTTGGCGCGACCGACGCGGCCGCGGTGGCGCTGACCGCTGGGCACATCCCAACGGGCATTTCAGTGCGAGTCAGCGACTTGGGCGGGCGCGGTATTATGGCAACGTCGACAACGGTAGACACGATGATAATAGTAGCGATGCTGGTGACGATGTTGACAACGACGACGGCGCGGCCAGTGCGGGCGCCGATGTTGATCACGCCGACGACGATGACGGCGTCTGCTCGTCGGCGACGAAGGTTTTGGAAAGAGTTTGACATGCGCGCGCGGCCGACACGCGAGAGTGGCCCACATGGTATTATGTGACACGGATCGTGCCCCCCCCGCACGCGCGCAAGGGCGCGCGAATGAATTCGGCATGCGGCGCCAGAGGCCCGCTTGGCAGAATCCCATGAACATGTTGAAAAACCTATGATTTTCTAACGAATCATCAAAAGCGCGAGCGCACGCTTTTATGGAAACTGATGTCGCGAAACCATGTGTTTTTGAAACGTGTTTTGGACACTCTGCTTTGAAATCACTACGAAACCAAAAGGTTTTGACGGATTTCTGCATGCGCGCGCGACGACGCGCGCGCGTGCACTTCGTCCCGTCATTTGCAAAGGATTCTCGCGACTGCACGCGCGCAAAGGCGTTCGAACGATTTCGACGTGCGCGCGCGAAGACCGTTTGGTAGCATTTTCTGAACATGATGAAAGAACTGCGGTTTTCTTTAAAAAAATCCCAAGAGCACGCGCGCCAGCTTTTTTTGAAAATCCGTGTAGCGAAACCTTGTGTTTTTATATGTTTTTGGGATACTCGATTGTGATATCCTTACAAAACCAAAAAGGTTGTTCAAGGATTTCGGCACGCGCGCACGACAACGCGCGCGTGTGCATTTCGTCTTTCTATGCAAAATATTCTTGAAAATTGATGATTTTTGATAAACAAATGCGCGTGCATTGTATATTTTTCCACCGGATGGCGGGGGGGTAGGAAGATTCCGGCTCGACTGGGACGGTATGAATTTCCCCAATCAGAGCTTGCCTCTGTAGGGGTCCTAGCAGATTCATATGGTTAGGTGAGGTTCGTCGCCGATTTCGGTGGCAGGCCCAGGTGCGCGGGTGCCCCGGTGCCCCGCTGCCCGGGTGTGCCCCGGTGCCCCAGTGCCCGGGGGTGCCCGGAGGTGCCCGGGGGTGCCCCCAGGTGCCCTGGGATGCCCAGGTGCCCAGTAGCCCTATAGCCCCATAGCCCTATAGCCTTATAGCCTTGTAGCCTTACAGCCGTATAGCCCTATAGCCCTATAGCCCTATAGCCCTATAGCCCTACAGCCCTACAGCCCCATAGCCCTATAGCCCTATAACCCTATAGCCCTATAGCCCTATAGCCTTATAGCCCTATAGTCCTATAGCCCTATAATCTTATAGCCCTATAGCCCTATAGCCCGATAGCCCTATAGCCCTATAGCCCCAGAGACTTAGCCTTATAGCCTTATAGCCCTATAGCCCTATAGCCCTTTAGCCCTATAGCCCTTTAGCCCTACAGCCCTAATAGCCGTAATAGCCCTATAGCCCTATAGCCTCATAGCCCTGTAGCCTTATAGCCCTATAGCCTTATAGCCCTATAGCCCTATAGCCCTATAGCCCTATAGCCCCATATAGCCCTATAGCCCCATATAGCCCTATAGCCCTATAACCCTATAGCCCTACAGCCCTATAGTCCTATAGCATCATAGCCCTATAGCCTTATAGCCCAATAGCCCTACAGCCCTGTAGCCCTATAGCCCCAGAACCCCCGAGCCCTACAGCCCTATATCCCTACAGCCCTGATAGCCCGATAGCCCTACAGCCCCAGAACCTTGTAGCCCTATTACTCAACAGCCCTATAGCCCTACCATCAGATTGAGGATGGACGAATGGGCAGAATGATATAAATTGCAATACGAAAAGGGGAACGGATAATCCCGGGGGGGTAGAGTCAATTCTCTTTTAAGAAAGGAGAATATATGTGGTACAATAGATGTTGTGCACTCTATGTGGTGCAAAATGTGTTGTGCAATCCTGCACTTTATGCGGTTCGATGTACGCTGTGCAAAGTATGCGGTGCAATTGATTTTTACCCATGATTTGACACATCCCATGCTCTTGCAAACATCCCACCCTCCCACCCGCAACTTGGTTTGCAAAACCTCTTAAGACCGTGACGGTGGCTACCAAATGGCACTCGGCAACGACACCGACGCCGACGACGACGACGACAACGACGACGACGACGACGACGCCGACGACGACTACGACGACACCGACGACGTCTCCCACGACTTCGACGACGACGACGACAACGACGACGAAGGCGACGACGACGACGACGACGACGACGACGACGACGACACCGACGACGATGACGACAACGACACCGACGCCGACGACGATGACCACGACGACGATGACGACGCCGACGAAAACGACGGCGACGACGACGACGTCGACGACGCCGACGACGACGACGGCGGCGACGACGACGACGCCGACGTCGGCGACGACGAAGACGACGACGACGCCGACGCCGAGGACGACGATGACGACGCCGCCAACGAAGACGACGACGACGACGACGACGACAGAGGATGAGGACGACGACGGCGACAACGACGACAACGACGAGGGAGGAAGAAGGACGGCGACGACGCGAACGACGAAGAAGGAGGGAGGACGGCGACGCCGACGACGACAACGACGAGGGAGGACGACGACGACGACGACGACGACGACGACGACGGCGACGAAATAGGAGGGACGACGACGAGACGCCGACGACGGACGACGACGACGACGAGGGAGGAGGAGGAAGGACGACGACGGCGACAGCGACGACGGAAACGACGACGACGCCAAAGAGGACGACGACGACGACGACGACGAGGAAAGACAGAGGACGACGACGGCGACGACGACGAGGGAGGAGGGAGGACGGCGACGACGACGACGACGACGACGACGACGACGACGACGACGACGACGACGACGACGCAAGAGCGCGCGCGCAAGTTTTTATTGAAAATCCGTGTTGCGAAACCTTGTGTTTTTGTAGGTTTCTTGGACACACGATTTTGAAACCCTTCCGAAACCGATGGGTGTTGAAAGATTTCGGCGTACGCGCGCGACGACGCGCGCGTCTGCACTTCGTCCCATTTTTTGCAGAGGATTCTCGCGACGACACACGCGCAAGGGCGTCCGACAGACTTCGACATGCGCGCGCGAAGCCCGTTTGGTAGGATTTTGTGAAAATCTTGAAAACCAATGGTTTTCTTAAGATTTCGCAAGAGCTCGCGCGTAAGCTTGTTTAGCAAGTCGGTGTTGCGAAACCCTATGTTTTCGTATGTGTTTTGGAAACTCCATTGCGAAATCCTTCCGACACCGCAGGTTTTTGAAGGATTTCGGCATGCGCGCGCGACGACGCGCGCGTGTGCTCTGCGTCCCATTTTTTGCAAGGGATTAGTGAACAAGTCTTATGTTAGAACAACAAATGTCCCTGCGTATTGTTTTTTACAAGGGAACCTCAGGGGGAGGGATACCGGCCCCCCGGGGATAGTGTACATTCATATTTAGGATGGACATGTGGTCATAATCATATATTTCTTACATACCCGAAAGGGGTGGGGATAACGCCGGGGGGGGGTAGAGTCTAGTCTCTTTTTAGAAAGGAGAATCTAGATGGCGCAATATATGTGGTGTAAAATATGTTATGCAGTCTAGATGATGCAATATGTTGTGCAACCCATGTAGTCCGATCTATGCGCTGCAATCTATGCTGTGCAAGCTATGTGGTGCAATATCTCTGGTACAATCGATGCGGTGCCATCTTTGTGGTGCAATTTAAGGGGGCCACAAGGCGGCAACGGAGCGGCGACGGTGGCAACATAGGCGCCAGACCGCAACGCTGGCCCAGACGACGGGCGGCGACGAGGCAGCGACGGGGCGGCGACGGCGACAACATAGCCTCCAGACCGCCATACCTGCCCAGCTCCTGAGAAAAGTAGTAAGAACCCATAAGTGCAAGCACGGTTTGGGTAATGTACATATATACATATAGACAGATAGATAGATAGATATATAGATAGATTGATATATAGATAGATAGATAGATATATACGTATGCGTTACATGTGTGTGCACCAGCGTTGTTACATCTGAAGGGCCAGGGGGCCCGAGCTACGCTCTTCATTAGAAGGACCGCGCCCCTGCCCGTATAGCAGTCTTTCGTCTCGTCTCCTCCCTCTTCCTCATGCTCCTCCTCCCCTCCTCCTCCTGCCCCTGCTTTTGCTCTTCCTCCTCCTCCTCCTCCTCCTCCTCCTCCTCCTCCTCCTCCTCCTCCTCCTCCTCCTCCTCCTCCTCCTCCTCCTCCTCCTCCTCCTCCTCTTCCTCCTCCTCCTCCCCCCGTCGACCGCGGCAGCAGCAGGGCCTCCTCGTCCGGGCTGGCGTCCAGGAGGTCGTCAAGCACTGCCAGGAACCTCTGCCACCACGCCTCCGTGCCAGCGTGCGCCGCGGCCCCGGCAGGGCCTGCGCCCGGCGCGTACGCCTCGAGCAGCTGGCACAGGTGGCGAGCGCCCAGCGGCCTGCACCCGAGCGACTCCAGCAGCCGCGCGGGCACCAGCAGCTCCACGCCGGCGTCCTGAGGGGGGGGACGGCGTGGCGTGGGCCGCCAAAGGACATACCAGCACTGCCCACCGCGGATGGAGACGTCGCTTCCCGAGCGGATCGGCCAGGAAGCGCCCGCAGCGGAGCTTATACTTATGTCGGGCGTGTCCCCCTACAGAAGGACTTTCGACGAAAAATTCGCCGGCCCAACGGGCCAGGGCGTGCTAAGATCTCCGGCACCTGGTTAACAGTATTTCTAGTTCGCGCGCGCGGGGCGGCCCCTGGGGGTCCCCAGGCGAAAAGTACCCCAGCAAGGTCCCGGCAAGGTCGGGTCAGAGATGCCGGAGTTCTGTTTCGGAGTCCAAGAGGGCTCCAGATCGGTCCAAGCGGGCCCCGAGAAGCTTTCTAGACGGTCCAAGAGAGGCCCGAGACGGCCAAAGATCGCCCGAAGACGCCCCAGATGGCCCCAAGACAGCCCAAGAGGCCTCCAAGACGCTCCAAGGGCCTTCCAAGAGGCCTCCGAAGAGGGCCCCAAGTTGCCAAAATCGTTGATTTTCATTGGTTTTTTCTATGTTTTTTTGCGTTCTGGCCTTTTCGCTTCCGGACGCTCCAAGAGGGCCCAAGAGGCCTTCAAGACTGCTCCAAGACGGCCCACGAGGCTCCCAAGACGGCCCCGGAGCGGCCCAAGAGCGCCCCCCAGACGGCCCAAGTGCTGCCCAAGGCGGACCAAGAGGCCCCAAGACGGGCCCAAGAGGGGCTCAAGAAGGGAACCGAGAACTGAAAAATCGAGCCCTCCGCCCCAGAAGGCGCCCAGGACCCCGAAAGAGGCCCCAAGAGACTCTCCAAGACACCCCCAAGACGCCCCAATAAGCTCCCGTGAGGCCCCAAGAGGACCAACAACGTCAGGCCCCAGGCCCCAAGAGGACCAACAAATACCGCCAAGAGCCCGCCGAAAGCCCCCCAAGAGACCGTCACGAGAGCTCAGGAGGCCCCCTGGAGGCCTCCCGAGTTCTCCAAGAGGCCTAAAAAGAGGCGCCAAGAGGCCCCAAACGGCCCCACCGAGGCTCCAAGAGGCCACGAACGCGCAAGCAAACGCCTGCGATGGCACAATACGGGCCGGCGGAATGAGCGAAGCGATTAAATAAAAAATACACCCAGAATACCCAAAAAAGGTCAAAAAAATACAAAAGATGGTCCCCAGACTCTTTTGTTGAGCATTTCTGGGCTATGTTTGGTGTATTTTGTATTTTTCGTCGAAAATCCCCTGTAGGGGACAGGCCCGACCTCAGCTGATACCTGAAGACGTCTGAGCGCGCGCGTCGCGCTTGCGGGGCCGACGCACACCTGGCACACGGTCGGGCACGTGCGGAACGGCGTGTCGCGGCGGCCCCGGCGACACGCCATGCCCTGCGCACGGACAGCGTGTCACTGCGCTGCGCGGGGTGGGAGGCCGGGAAGAGCTCGGCACCGCGAAGTGGACACGTGTCGCGCCGAAGCGCGGTGGGCCAGAACTGGCGGAGCGGCACGCCACCCAAAAGTCCCCGACCGTAAGCATGTGTTGGGGTGGTGCCGGTGAAAGGGGAGCGGTGTGATGCTGTTCAGTCGCGGCGCTCTCTCTTCACTTCGGCATAAGGGTTTGGTCGGGCGTGTCCCCCTACAGGGTGATTTTCGACGAACAATAAAAAATACCCCAAAAATAATCAAAAAATAGTCCAAAAATAGTCTGGGGACTATTTTTCTATTATGTTTTGAAACCTTTTTGGGGCATCTCTTTGGTATCTTTATTGTTTCGTCGAAAATCCCCCTGTAGAGGGGGACACGCCCGGCACAAGCCTACGGGGGCCGCTCTCGGCCCCCGGGGACCATGAGCACTGGGTCCAGGAGGCAAAGCTGGACCAGAAAGCACACGACTCCGCCCCACCTGCGGCCCCACGGGGCTGGCGCCGTCGCGCCGTCGGGCAGCGACGACGACGACGACCACGCCAACGACGACGACGACGGCGACGGCGGCGGCGGCGACGACGGCGGCGACGGCGACGGCGACGGCGACGGCGACAACGAAGATGGTGACGAAGACGACGACGCCAGGAGATCTGGCGCGGGCTCCTGCGTCATCGTGCACGCCGCGGCCCCCGACGGGCCGTGGCGCAACATGGAGGGCCGCAGGTGGGGGTGGACGTCGTTTGCTCCCGGACCCCCTCGCGCTGCGAAAAAAACACGACGGGAAGTTTTTCGTTATTTTCGGCGGGCCCTTACCTGGCCTCGGGACCGTCAAAAAATGATTCAGAACGAAAAACCGGTCCCGGGGAAGGGGTCCAGACCTCTGGGGGTCGCGCCATGAAAAAATCATGACGTCGGGGGTCTGGGTTTGGGGGAGCGACCCCCCCCCCGGGTCAGATACGACGCCCCCCCCTGGGACTCCTCTTCCCCTGGGCTCCAGCCAAGCCGACCTTGAGCAACCTCGTAATTGAGTCGAAGGGAAGCCCCTTTCCCTTTCATCCCTCCCCCGCCGGGAGGGGGGGGGGGGTAGCGACCCCCCCCCCGGGTCAGATACGACGCCCCCCCCTGGGACTCCTCTTCCCCTGGGCTCCAGCCAAGCCGACCTTGAGCAACCTCGTAATTGAGTCGAAGGGAAGCCCCTTCCCTTTGATCCCTCCCCCGCCGGGAGGGGGGGGGGGTAGCGACCCCCCCCCCGGGTCAGATACGACGCCCCCCCCTGGGACTCCTCTTCCCCTGGGCTCCAGCCAAGCCGACCTTGAGCAACCTCGTAATTGAGTCGAAGGGAAGCCCCTTCCCTTTGATCCCTCCCCCGCCGGGAGGGGGGGGGGGTAGCGACCCCCCCCCCGGGTCAGATACGACGCCCCCCCCTGGGACTCCTCTTCCCCTGGGCTCCAGCCAAGCCGACCTTGAGCAACCTCGTAATTGAGTCGAAGGGAAGCCCCTTCCCTTTCATCCCTCCCCCGCCGGGAGGGGGGGGGGGGTAGCGGGGGGGGTAGCGACCCCCCCCCCGAGTCAGATACGACGCCCCCCCCCCGTACCGACCTTGAGCAACGTCGTCATTGAGTCGAAGGGAAGCCCCTTCCCTTTCCCTTCCCCGACGGGGGGGGGAGAGGAGGTCCCGGGGGGGGTCCCGGGGGAGTCCCGGGGAAGTCCCGGGTCAGATACGACACCTCCCTCCCCCACCTTCTCGTCCTTCTCCCCGTTCCCCCAAACCATCCCACAGCCCGTGCCTCTTGCTGCGCATTGCGAACAGGGTCGGCGGCACCGGCCGTCAGGCCTTCGCAATCATGACGTCGGGGGTCTGGGTTTGGGGGTCGAAAACTGGCCCCCGGGGAGGGGGTCGGGAGCTCTGGGGCCGCGCGGTGAGAACAGTCGCTGGCCCCGTCGGCGGTCGGCGGCCGCGGAGAGGGGGCGTCTTCTGGGGCGGTGGTCCCCGCGAGTGGTCCCGGGAGCTTGCGTCGCTCGGACGTCCTTTCCCCGTGCATGTTTCGGCTTCGCGCGCTTATTTTTTTGCAAGGGTTCCCAACTTCGCGCTTCGCACTGAGCGAAGCGCGAAGTGCGACTAACTTCGCGCTCTCGCGCCGCCTCCCAGGGGAGAAGCGGAGGATGAGGAGGAATCGGAGCCGAACCGCGAAGCGCGAATAACTTCGCGCCCTCGAGGGCGCCCTTGTTTTTGTTCCGCAGGATGATCCAGGATGCTCCTCGATGGTCCACGAGGAGAAAACATGCACACGTCCGAGCGATGCCAAGGGAGACGCTCGTTGAGTCGAGCTTGCTCCTCCCTTCTCGGCGGCGGCGGCGTTGGACTCTCAAAGCTCGCAGTCGAGTCGAAGGGGAGCCCCTTCCCTGTGGTCACTTTCCCGCTGGGGGGGAGGGGGAGGTCCCAGGGGGTGTCCCAGGGGGGATCTCGTGGGAGGGGGGGGCAGATCAGAATGCAGTCCCCTTCCATCGTCGGGCCAGTTCGGCCCTCTTTCGGGGCACTGACGTCCAAGACGCCTTTGAGGCCTCCGAGACGGCCCATTGGGACCCCCGCGAGGGCCCCAAGAGGCAACAGTCCTTGATACTCAAAAGGTGTTTGAAAGATTTTAGCGTTCTCACTCTTTCGGTCTTCCCACGCTCCAAGACGGCCCACGAAGCCCGCAAGATCTGCCCCAATGGCCCCAGAGAGGGCCCCAAGACGGCCCGAGAGGGCTCCACGACGGTCCAAGAGGCCCACGAGGCTCCCAAGAGGAGCCCAAGAGGGGGGGAAGAAGGACTGACATCTCGAGCCCTCCGCCACACGATGACCCCCCGCGACTGCCAAGAGGCCCCCAAGAGGGTCCCAGAGGCCCCCAGAGGCCCCCAAGAGGCCCCCAAGAGGCCGCCAGGAGGCCCCAAGAGGCCCCAAGAGGCCCCCAAGAGGCCCCCCAAAGCAGTGCAAGATACCTCCAGGAGGCACGCGAAGAGACTTCTATCTACACTCAAGAGGCCTGTGTCCACGACCGAGGTATGGTGGCGGGCTGGGCCGAAGGCCACTAGATAGAGGTGGCACTGCGTTCTGTCTCTTCTCCAGTCTCGAGGCGTTCTTCGCGCCGTGCTGGGACAAATCGTCAGCAGGCCTTCGTGCGCTCCTCGACTCTCCCTCGCGGCCTCTCCGGGGCCTCCGTACAGTCAACCCGTACAGCAAGGATGCGCGATGAGGATGCTTCAAGGGCCTTGGACGCTCATGTCAAGGCTTTTCGAGTGGGGCGCGGCCAACGAAAGCGGCCAAGGATGGGCCGAGGAGGCAAGGATGCCAGGGTACCCTTGGAAAGATTGCCCATCCTTACCATGCGGGTTGACTATATCCCCTTTCAGGGTCGGCGGCACTAGCCGCAAGACTTCGTCGCAGTGGTATCGGAGGATGACTTGATGGGAGTGGCTCAGGGTACAGGGTACGTTCCAGGATTCCCGGAGCATCTAGCGCCCATCGTTTCTAAGGTCTACAACCCGTGCGGAGATGTTTCGGAAATCTTGGAAAACCTGGAGATCCTGGAGCTCGGGAGCGGCCAAAAGGGGGGTGTCCAAGAGGGGGGGGGTGCAAATCATGACCGGCGGCATGTGCGCGGCCCAGCGGGGGGGCCAGGGACGCAATGAAATAAGAGGAGGCGCCATGAAATCTGGGGAAATATCATGGCCCACGCCATGATATCCACCCCCCCTAGTCATCACCCCCCCCCTTTTCCGCCCCCGAGGAGCGTACCATAGCCATGGTCTCTTGCTCCTCCGAGCTGGGGCCCCGATCGGGGATGGGTGCGCGCCTGGCGGCCGATGCTCCCCCCCCCCCCGGAGCCAGTCCTCCCCCCGTCGGTGCTCCCCGGCCTCCGGGCCTTCCGACTCGGCTCCCCCCCATGGTTAACCAGCCTCGAACGTATCCCCATCCCTAAGAATGACACGCCAAAAGGCGATGACAATCTTAGGGATTCGCCCTCAAAAAACAAGGGAATCCCTAAGATTGGCATCGTGATGAGGAGGTGCCCAGCATAGGGATAGGGATATGTTCCAGGCTGGTAAATGGTGGCCGCTCGCGACGCACTGGGCGACCCCTGGGGGGAATATGCTCACCGGCGAAGCGCGGCTGCTGGAGGGCACCCCGAAGCCAGCAAGCCGCCGAGGAGTCCACGAGCACGCCCGCGATCGCCCCCCCTGGAGATACCCCCCCGCCTGAGGCCCGTCCCCCCCCCCACCCCCCCCTGAGCCAGCGCCCCCCCGGAGCCGGCCCCTCCCCCCCCCCTGAGCCAGTACCACCCTGCCGTTGTATGCTCGGGTCGGGCGAAAGGGGGGGATAAAAAGGGGGGTTAAGAATCAGCTCACGTAGCTGATTTTCCTGGCGCCTCCCAGCGCCGGAGGCGACTATGTATCGAGGAATGGGCCCCTCGATGAGGCCGAAACCAGCTGCATGCAGCAAATTTCGTAACCCCCCCTTTCCCAATCCCCCCCTTTCGCCCGGCCCGATATGCATGGGAACGGCGCAAGCCGCACCCCGCCACGCCTGGGAGCCCTGCTTCGGGCCCCGCTCCGTGGAGCGGCGCGGCGCACGGAGCTCGTCGGCTCCGAGGGACCGGGAAGCTGCGCACGCTGTGATTACCGTTGGGTCGGGCCTGTCAGCCTACAGGGGGATCTTGGGCGAAAAATTAGAAATACTCCTAAGATACTCCCCAGATGCTCAAAAATAGTCAAAAAATAGTCCCCAGACAATTTTTGGACTAGAATCACGCGCGCTTCGCGCGCGCTTAGGTTCTAGCCGTGCACAAGGAACGCGCATCGCAAATTGCCTGTGTGCCACTGAGGAATGCAGGGCCGATTCGTCGGGCGCTCATTGGTCGTCTTGGGCGCCTCCTGGGCTGTCTTGGGGATCTTGGGGCGATCGGGGGGATGCCTCTGAGGCCGTCGGGAGCTCCTGAGAGACCAGAGAGGCGAGAACGCCAAAACAACAGGAAATCATACAAAATGGCAACACTTGGCCTTCTTGGCGGCCCTCTTGGGGCCTCTCGGGGCTCATTTGTGGTCCTCGATGGCCGTCATGGAGCGCTCTTGGGCATTCTTGGGAGGCCGGGGCCGTCTTGGGGCGCTCCTGGGGCTCTGTGGTGGCCCTCCTGTGGCTCTCTCGGGGCTCTCTTGGGAACCTTGTGGGCCTCTTTGAGGCCGCTCTTGGGCCGTCATTGGGCTCTCTCGGGCCGTCTTGGGGCCCTCTTGGGGGCCTCCTGGGCCGTCTTGGAGCGACCTTGGGGGCTTCGTGGGCCACCTTGGACGCTCTCGAAACCAAACAAGCGATGATGCTAAAACTGTACGTTGTCCGAAGGCAATGGGAAGATTTTTGCTTCGTGGGGGTCCTCTTGGGAGCCTCTTGAGCTGTCTTGAGGCCACCTTAAGCGGTCTTCGAGCGCTCTTGGGGCGCTATGGGATCGTCTTGGAAGCCTCTTAGACCGTCTGGAGGCGATCGCGGATGCTCTTGGAACGCTCCCGGGGGTGGAACCGCCCCGCAAAGGACCGAAAACAGGCCCCGGGCCCCGGGGGCCCAATTGGGTTGGCCCCATTTGTCAGTGTGTCCCGGGCGCGGCCGGGGGCCCAACACTCCCATATTATATATATATATATATTATATATATATATTATATATATTATATATACATACATACATATACATACACATACATACATACATACATACATACATACACATACATACATACATACAGACAGACAGACAGACAGACAGACAGACAGACAGACAGACAGACAGACAGACAGACAGACAGACAGACAGACAGACAGACAGACAGACATATATAGATACATATACCTATACACATATACATATATTACATACATATACATATACATATACATATACTATGTTTGAATATCCCTCCTGTAGAAGGATAGGCCCGACTTAAAGTAGCCGCTCCCGGGTTCGAAGATCGGCGACGCCCTCGGGAGGCGCCGGCGCGGTGCGGTGCACGCGAGCCGCCCCGCGGGCATTGAAAACCCCCGGCGTCCACGAGGTGCAGGCCCGCGGGGGCGGCCCGGCCGAGGGGCGACGCCGGGCTCTCCAGCAGCTCCCGCACGTCCCGCCGCCCGACGAGCAGCGTCGCCGACGGCTGCGCCCAGTCGCCCGCCGAGGTCAGCACGCAGCCGGTCTCCCGCAGCCTCGGAATCGACGGGCGCGTTCCACTGCTCGCAGAGTAACTGCGCAACTGACCTTACCAGCCTCGAACGTATCCCTATCCCTAAGATGGACACGCCAAAAGGCGATGACAATCTTAGGGATGCGCCCTCAAAAAATAAGGGAGTCCCTAAGATTGGCATCGTGATGAGGAGGTGCCCAGCATAGGGATAGGGATATGTTCCAGGCTGGTAATGACCTTGATGCCCCGCGGGGGATCTACGATGAATTACATCAAGGCCGACAGCTGTGCTTCGGACGTCTGCGAGCAGGCACTCTGCGAGCAGTAGAACGCGCTCGGTGACACAGAAGGCGCCCGCCGGCCCCCGCTTGCCGGGGGCGAGAGGGCGTGTGAGATGATTGTGAAGGGGCCCTGGGACACACAAATAAATACACACAAATAAAAATATTCCCAATACTTTCCCATATTTCTGGGTTTCTGTCTTCCCCCCCACTTCCCATATTTTCCTATATCTTCCTGGGGATCGACGATTAATTGTGTCTGTGTGTTTTCTCCCCTCCTGACCCCCCTCCCCCACTTCCCCCCTCTCCCCGGGTCCGAGATCTCGTTCGAAGGGGGGGGCGTATCCGAGCTCGCCGGCGCACCCCCGGAGACTCCGGAGCCTCCGAATCTGCTTCCCGTGGCCTCAAAGACGTTCCAAGAGGGTCCCCAGTCGCTGAACGATGGGCCCAAGACGCTTACGATGGCTCCAAGACGCCCCAAGACGCCCTCGAGACGCCCCAAGAGGCCTTGCCAAAAGGGCCGCAGGAGGCAAAATTCAATGGTTTGTCTTAGATGTTTGAAGGATTTGGGCGTTTTCGCCTGTGTGTTTTCCGACGCTCCAAGGTGGCCCAAGAGGCCCCCAAGAGGTCCCAAGCCAGCCCAAGAGGCCTCCAAGAGGGCCCCAAGACGGCCTAAGAGCGCCCCAAGACGGCACAAGAGGCGCCCAAAACGGCCCAAGAGGGCCCCAAGACAGCCCCAAAAGGAGCTAAAGAGAGGGAGCACGAACCAAAAATCCGAGCCTTCCGCTCCAAGAGGCCCCCTGGAGGCCCCAAGACGCCCCGAGAGCCTTCCCAAGAGGGCCCCGAGAGGCAAAAATTAATGTTTGTCCATGGGTATTTGATTGATTGTTTCTAGGGTCGTCTTCTTCTCGAGCTTCCGGCGCTCCAAGACGGCCCAAGAGGCCCCGTAGACCGCCCCAAAACTGCACAAGAGGTCCCCCCGTGAGGGCCCCAGAACGGCCCACGAGGGTTATGTCTGGCGTGTCCCCCATAGAGGGGGATTTTCGACGAAAATTAAAAATACCAAAAAAATGCCCCAAAAAGTTCCAAAAATAATTAACAAAAATAATCCCCTGACTATTTTGGGATTATTTTTTGATTATTTTTTGGGTATTTTTTTATTTTTCGTCGACAATCCCCCTGTAGGGGGACAGGCCCGACTTAACACGAGGGTTCCAAGACAGCCCAAAGAGGGGCCCAAAGACGGCCAGAGATCGCCCCAAGAGGGCCCCAAGAGAGGCGAAGAAGGAGAGCACGAACCCAACATCCTATATTTCCCCTCCAAGGGGCCCCCCGCAGGCCCCAAGGAGCCCTCAAGCGGCCCAGAAGAGGCCCCCAGTAGTCCCCAAAAGGCCCCAGAGGCCAAACAGATACCCCAAAACGGGCCCCAAGACGCCTCAGGGCTGCCTCCAAGAGGCTGCCCCAGGCCCCCACACGATTCCCACGACGCCCACGGGTCCCCAGATGGTGTCCGAGAAGCCCACGACGCCTCAACAGTGGACTCCTCGCCTCCTCTGGGAGTCGGCGGAAGGGCGCAAGCCTCTTGGATAAACCAACTGTTTGTTTTGTTGGTCGCGGCGCTGGAAAAAATGTCAACAAGAACCCATTTGGACACCCGAAATGGGCACGGAAACAATGGGCACAATGCCCAACAACAAATGTTGTCCCAAACCAACAGCGGCCGCTGTTGGGCAGGCGGCCTTCTGTCTCAAATGGACACAGGCCGCGGCGACACCGACAGCGAGTCCTGTTCAGAGTGAACAGGAACTGCTGTTGGGCATTGTACCCCTTCTTTCCGTACCCATTTCGGGCGTCCAAAAACAAGAACCCAGGTTCAAGCCAAGGCTAAGCTGACGGCGGAGCTGCTCACGGTGAGGGGAGGCGGCAGGCCGGCCCGATGACGCGGGCGATCGCCCGGGCCCGAAAGCAAAAACAGCCTCCCAGCGATCGCTCGGCGCGGGAGGGCGCAAGCCGCGCTGCGAAACCGCAAGCTTTACCAGCCTGGAACATATCCCTATCCCCATGCTGCGCATCTCCTCATCACGATGCCAATCTTAGGGACTCCCTTATTTTCTGAGGGCGCATCCCCAAGATTGTCATCGCTTTTTGGCGTGTCAATCTTAGGGATAGGGATAAGAGTTCGAGGCTGGTAGAAACTACCACCAAATGCGGCAAAAACCAAATACACAGTATTGACTACCTACCAGACCACCCCAACCCAACCCGAAGACCCGAATTTCGGGTTGGGGGGGGTATGGGCCCCACATGTGTTTTTGTCGACGTTCTCGGGCCCCCCCCCCAGTGGAAATGGAGGGCAAATTGAGGCCTTCGGGTTGGGCTGGGGTGGTTTGGTGGGTGGTGAAGTATACGCATAGACTCCTGGATGCCCGCGCGGATTCCTGCGGTCGGCGCTGGCGCAGCCCTCCCGCGCGGGGGCCGCGCCGGAGGCGGCGCCGGGGGCGCCAAAAGGCCCAGCGCCGGCCCAAGAGATCCGCGCAGCGGCACAGTGCCCTACAGGCGGACAGCGTGTCGCTCCGCTCCGCGTGGCGGGAGGCTGGGAACCCAGAGCCCCTCAGGTCATGAGAAGATCACAGCGGGAAGCGTTTCGCTATTTTCGGGCTCTCGGGGGGCCTTCCGGGCCTCGGGACCGCCAAGAAACGGCCCGGGGTGAGAAGCTGGCCCCGTGGAGTGGGTCGAGACCTCTGGGGGTCGACGTCATGAAGAACATCGCGACGTCGGGGGTCTGGGAGAGGCTCGGGACGTTCACGCCTGGGAGCTGGGGCGTGACCTGGCGTGTGGCGCCGAAGCGTGGCAGGCCAGCACGGGCGGCGAGCGACACGCGAAGGCACAGTGCCCCACCGTATGTATGCCCGTGCGGGCCCCACTCCGCACGCCTTCGCACCGGGGCCCGCTGCTTCCTCGCCCCGGGCCCAGCCGCCCCCGCGGAGAGCCGCCGACCGCAGCAGCCGCCGAGAGGCCCCGGGCGGCGGGGCCGGCCATGCCAACACGCTCCGGGAGCTCGACCCCGGAACCGCCCCCCCTGTCCTCCTTTTCCTTCGGCCGCATCCCTCCTCCCTCTTCCTCCTCCTCCTGCCTGGTGGCACAATTTAGGGAACCGAGCTCTACACACCGATGCTTTTTGCGGCAATGCACTGAGGTTTGCACAGGAAAGGGGATCCTGGTGTATACGGAATCCTGGTGTATACATTTTTCGGTTTTCCCTTGGAAAACAGGAAAAAGTATACACCACACCACCCCGACGTCGTCCCCGACCCTCAAAAAGTCGTGGGATTGAAAAAACAACCCGCCACTGGTAATGCATATGTTCCAGTGTCCGACAATTCTCCCCAACGGTACAGTCAGCCCGTGCAATAAGGATGCGCGATAAGGATGCAAGGGCCTTGGACGCCCATCTCGAAGCTTGTCGAGCGGGGCGCGGCCGACGAAAGCGGCGAAGGATGGACCGAGGAGGCAAGGATGCAAGGGTACCCTTGGGAAGGTTGCCCATCCTTCCTATGCGGGTTGACTGTACCCCCGCTCATGCCTCTCATCGCCAGCGCAGCCACCCGCTCTGCCCAGCCGCCGCCGCAGAATGTGCAGGCCCCCCGAGGCCTCCAGCCCCCGGAGGTCTCGACCCCTTCCCCGGGGGAACCGGCCCTCCGCCCCGAGCCGTGCTCGGACGGCCCCGGGGCCCGGCAGGGGCCGCTGATGAGGGAGAACGGCCGACGGCCTCCCAGCTCGACTGGAAGGCCTCCTCCTCGTCCTCCTCCTCCTCCTCCTCCTCCTCCTCCTCCTCCTCCTCCTCCTCCTCCTCCTGCTCCTCCTCCTCCTCTGGATCTCTCGGGTGGCGACATCCGAACCCTGACCCCACCAACCATCGAGTCTCCTGAGTCCATGGGAGGCGGAGGCAGGGCTCGGGCTTCGCCACGCGCTCGACGGAGTCCGAACCCTATACCCCCGCCGCCCATCGAGCTGTGCCTGAATCGTTGATCGGCGAGGGCGCAGTCGATCCGTATCATTAGGACGCGCGAGAAGGATGCAAGGGCCTCGGAAGGCCATGTCGACACTTCGCGGGCGGGGCGCGGCCAGCGAAAGCGGCCAAGCATGGGCCGCAGGGGAAGGATGCAAGGGCAACCTTGGGAAAGTTGCTCATCCTGCTCCGTGCGGGTTGACTGCAGGGTCCGGATCCCGCCGCCCGTCTCTTCTGCGCGTCACGGGGCCTTCGACCCAGCTCGACCATCGGCGCGCGGAAGGGCGGCAGCACCGCCGCGGGGTCGGGCACGGCCGCCAGGCAGCCCTGGGCCAGCGCGCCGCCGCGCGCGCGGCAGGCCCCCACGAGCCGCTGCAGCAGGCCCGCCCGCCCCCGCCCCCGTGGGGCATCGGAGGGGCGCCCGGCGTGCCCCACCTCCTCCTCCTGCTCCTGCTCCTCCTCAATCCTCCTCCTCCTCCTCCTCCTCATCCCTCCTCCTCCTCCTCCTCCTCCTCCTCCTCCTCCTCCTCCTCTCCTCCTCCTCCTCCTCCCTCCTCCTCCTCCTCCTCCTCCTCCTCCTCCTCCTCCTCCTCCTCCTCCCCTCCTCTCCTCCTCCTCCTCCTCCTCCTCCTCCTCCTCCTCCTGCTCCTCCTCCTCCTTCTCCTCCTCCTCCTCCTCCTAATGGCCAAGAAGAGGCCCAGGACAGAACAATTAGAAAGGAACGGATTTTGGCCCCCAAAAAACAAAAGAACTTTCGAATAATAAGAAATGAACAACGTGTATGCTTATACAGCGCTCTCCTTCGAGCATCAGAGGGGTGCCTGCCATGCCGAGCTTTTGCCCGCGCCCCCGGGCCCCCTCCTGCTGGGCGGGGCGACATGGGGCCGCTGCTCCCCGGACCTCGCCAGGAGCGCGCTGTGACCAGGATTCCGAGGCGAGGACCTCAGGAACTTTGGGGCTCTGGAGACGCCGCCGCAAAGACGGCATGCTTTCGAGAGTGTGTCCTCAAACTCGGCGGCGAGCGAGGGGGGAAGTGAGCAGGAAGAGACTTCGCAGAAGGCTCGGAAGCCCCCCTAGCCTTCTGAGAAGTGTTCGAAGCCTTCCCGAAGGCAAGCGAGGGTTTCTGCGAAGTCCCGCGGCCTTCTGAGAAGGCCTTCTCCTTCTCATTGATCCCCCTCGCTCGCCGCCGATAAAACCCCTCCGGCCTGCGAGCCGCAGCCCTTGACCCAGACCGAAGGGGAACGAGCAGAAACATCTGATGACCGCACATGGACGCATTCGCGGGGGGGCGCGTGCAAGGCGACGACGCTGCACTGCCGAGAGGATGGAGGAGGGTTCTCGATATCCCTCTCAGCCACCTGCTTGCTCGTCTGCCCTCAGGATCGCGTCTTCTCCTCTGATGTTTACCTTGCCATCGCTCGGACATCCATTCCCCGCTCATGTGTCGGTTGCGTCGTAGGCTACCGATGTCGCAGGCCTAGAGGTTGGCACCAGCACTAAGGTCGGCGTTGTGCCTCCACCGAAGGAAGACGATCCCGATCTCGGTGATGGTGGCAATATTCTGGCCTCCAGGGTGACCGAAACATTACCACCAACACCGAAATCTGGGATCATCTGGGCTAACCTCTGGGCCTACGACAATCGTAGGGGGCCACATGCGAACCCTACCCCTACCACCCACGATTTCTGAGGGGGAGGGTGGGTTTCACTTCGCTCGGGAGCTCCCAAACGAAGTGAACCCCACCCTCCCCCTCAGAAATCGTGGGGGGTAGGGGCAGGGTTCGCATGTGGACCCCTAAATCGGTCCCCGTTCCCATCGCAGGATGCTCCAAGACGCTCCCCGATGGCCCAAACGGTCCGGCGCTGGCCTCGCCGAGACAAAAAGCTCGCCCGCCCGCGCGGGACCAGGCGGAACTGCGCCGAGGCGGTGCCACGGGCAGAGTTGAAGGGGCCCTGGGACACACACACACACACACACACACACACACACATATATATATATATACACACACGGATAAAAAGATTCCCCATAGTTTCCCATGTTTTCTGGGTTTTTGTCTTCCCCACCACTTCCCATATTTTCCCATGTTTTCCAGGGAATCGACGATGAATTGTGTCTGTGTTTCTTTCCCTCCTGAAGAGTGCCGCACGAGTGCGTCTCTCCCGCCTGGGAGAAGCGCGAGAGAGTCCGAAGCCGTGCGCCGAGGTCACCGAGCACAGCCCCAGCCCTGCACAGAACCGCCCTCTGGATCCCTGGACGTCCCAGGACGGCTCGAAGAGGCTCCAAAGCTGCAGGGACGGGCCGAGAGCAGGTGGCGGCATCCGAAACCTACCCCCACCAACCATCGATTCTCCTGAATCCCTGGGAGGCGGAGATAGGGTTCGAATGCCGCGTGATCGACGAATTCCGAACCTTACCCCCGCTGCCCATCGAGTTGCCTGGATCGTTGATCGGCGAGGGTAGGTGTCGGATGTCGCCGCCGAAAGATGCCACCAAGACGGCAAAACATGTTTCGAAGGCGACCCAAGGGTCCCCAAGGGGCAAGAGTCAAAAAAAGCCTCGGTTTGTCAACGATTTCAATATGCTCAATTTTTCGCGGCCCAGGAAGCCAAGACTGCAGGTGGTCTAAAAGGGCGGCCCCAGGAGGTCCCAAGACGGCCCCAAGAGATCACCAAGACGGCATCCAAGGGCCCGAGAAGGCCCAAGAGCTCCCCAAAACGGCGCAAGAGGGTCCCAAGACCGCCCCAGAGGGCCCCAGGAGGCTTCACAGAAGAGGCTCAAAGAGAAGCGATCCCAAAAACAGCTCCAAGGCGACCCCAAAGAGCTCCTCCAGGAGCCATTCTGACGCAATCTGGGAAACCCGTCGGAGTCATTCATGAGTAAGTGCTGCATCCCCTGCGTCCCCCCAGTCATCCCGCCGGCACCTCTGAGAGGCACAGTTCAACCACGGGCCAGCGAGCTTTCCATCGATTGTCGGCCACAAGCACCCTGCGTTTCCACACGAGCGAACGAACGACCACCACTGCGGACAAGTGTCTGGGCCTCGCTGCGACCAGGTGAATGAGGCCGTGGCCTCTGGATTATGCCATCTACTGCGTCGGGCGAAAATGGGGGGGGCTCGGTGTATGCACTACGCCGTTTGGTCAGCCAAGGAGCTCGGTGTACAGACGCCTCAGCTTCCCAAACTGTGGGACACTGGAGCGTCTATACACCGAACTCCTGCGCAGAGTTCATTGGCTCCTTGGACGACCAATCATCCCGCCCCTCCGTGAGACACATAACAAGATCACACATGAGGACGAGGAGGAGGAGGGAGGACGCCGACGACGACGACGACGACCAGGAGGAGGAGGAAGAAGGAGGAGGAGGAGGAGAGAGGAGGAGGAGGAGGAGGGAGGAGGAGGAGGGAGGCGAGGGGAGGAGGAGGGGCAGGGGGGGCGGCGGTGACTCGCGGCAGGCGCCCTCGATCGGGCAGGGCCTCCAGCAGCAGGTCGTTCCAGGGGTGGCCCTCCAGCAGCGCCTCCCGGGAGGACGCCAGCGCCCAGTCCCCCTGCAGGGCCACGGCCGAGCCCAGGGGCGGGCCCACCGGGAGGTGGGCGAAGACCGGCTGGGGCCCCCGCTCCTGGGAGGAACGAGCGCGCTGCGTACAGTCAAACCGTATGACAGGGATGCGCGGCCAGGATGCAAGGGCCTCGGAAGGCCATGTCGACACCTTGCGGGCGGGGTGCGCCCAGCGAAAGCGGCCAAGGATGGGCCGAAGGGGAGGGACGCAAGGGTAAACTTTGAAAGTCGCTGCTCCTTACAGGGCAGTTTTTAATACATCGGACTTTGCAAAATCTAAGATGTTCAATACGTGATTTTTTTGTGAATAAATCTATGCATGAACTCATCGTTGTTGTTAGTACTAAATCCCCGCATGTTTTAATACATGATCCGCACGCGGATCATGTACTAAAAACGGCACTGTACGATGCGGGTTTTGGAGGCCTGGACATTGGCACCAACACCAACACAGGGGGTTGCCTCCACAGGGGGAAGATGATCCTAGATTTCGAGGTTGGTGGTAATATTTCGGCCACCTTGGAAACCAAAAGATTACCACCATCACCGAGACCGGAATCCTCATCCCTCGGTGGAGGCACGCCGCCGATATTGGTGTTGGTGTCAATCTCAATCTCGAGGCCTGCGAGGGTTGTCCGTAAGCACGCCTCGGAGGTCCGCGCGGACGTGTCTTCGGTCGGCGCCGGAGCGCACCTGGCTGCGCCCGCGGCGCCGCACGCGCGCGCGCGCGCCGGAGGAGGGGGGCGCCAGGGCCGACCAAGACTCTGCTCGGGCCTCCGAAGAAAGACTAGGCTTGAGCAGTTTAGCTGTTATTACAGGGCAGTTTTAATACACAGGATTTTACCCCCCCCCCAACAAAAAATATGTTAATACATGATTAATTTACGAATAAAATTATGCACGAACTCGTCGCTGTTATGAAAACAAAATCCCTGCATTGTTAATACATGATCCGCACGCGGAGCATGTATCAAAAACGGCACTGTATCGTTGTCACTTGTATCCGCATGGGCCCCAAACTGTGTGTGTGTGTGTGTTCTAGAAGTTTGCGCCGTGCGGTGTCTGTGTTGCACTCTACGTGGTGCCATCGATGGGGTGAGATATGTATTGTGCAAATCACGTTGCACAATGCAGCATTTGGTGTGGCAAAAAAATGTACAAGTCACGTGTTGCAATATATGTTGCGCGGTCAATGTGGTGCAATCTACATAGTGCAATATGGAGTGCAACTTGTGTGGTGCAATGTGGTGCAGTCTCTGTGGTGCAATCTCCGTGGTACAACAGACGCTATGTTCTCTAGGTGGTGCAATATATGCGTGTACAGTGGTGCTCTCTACGTGGCGCACGTAGTGCAATTTTCGCGGTGCAACCGATGCTGTGCAATCTACGCGGTGCCAATAATGCTTGTTCACAATGAATTGCCAACTCCACTGCTCACGCAACCATCCCACCCACCAAGGCAATTTGGTGCGCAAAACTCATGCGGCGGCGATTGCGATGACTGCTTCGCGCTGGCTGGCGCATCGCTGCGGCCGCGCTAGCGCGCGCAGGCTCGCACACAGAGCGGCCAGCTGCGACCGACGCGGCAGCGGTGGCGCTGACCAGTGGGAACTTCCCAACGCGTCTCGCAGGCCGCGCTAATGCGCGGGTACCTCAGTGCGAGTCGGTGGGTCGGGCGACGGCGGCACCAGGGCGACGTCGACAACGACGGACACGATGATGACAGTGGCGGTGCTGGGGTGACGATTATGACAATGACGACGGCAAGGCCAATTACGGCGCCGATGCCAATCACGCCAGCGACAAC